GTTGATGATCTAAATCCTGCATTACCGTTTAGGGTTTCAGGGTTTGGGGTTTGAGGGTTTAGGGTACCCATAATAAGGAATATATACCATACTTCTCATAGTTTCGGGTCCTGAAGGTCTTCAGCAGTACTTATCCTAGGGGCTGAGTAGGTAACCTCTAACCTGTTGGCGGCTTATAGAATCCTACAACAACTCAAAAGGTTAACCTCTTTTGGGCTAGGCCCTAAACCCTAAACCCTAGACTCCAAACCCTAAACCCTAAATCCTAAACCCCAAACCCTACGCCCTAAATCCTAAACCCCTACGCCCTAAATCCTAAACCCCAAGCCCTAAGCCCTAAACCTCAAGCCCCAAATCCTAATCCCAGAAGTCCTAAACTCTAATCCCAGAAGTCCTAAACAAGAGTCAAGGCTTTCGAACCGGGAGTTGCTGGCCAAGGACTTCTGCTCAAGAATTGCTAGGAAAGTTCTATAAAGGTTCCTTTAAAGGTTCCTTTAAAGGTTCTATCAGGTTCTTCCAGGTTCTAGAAGGGTTCTATAACGGTTCTATAAGGTTCTATAAGGTTGTATAAGGTTCTATAAGGTTCTATCAGGTTCTATGAGATTGTATAAGGTTCTATCAGGGTCTGTCCGGGCCTGAAAGGGTCTACAAGGGTCTATATGGGTCTTTCACGGTTCTAGAAGGGTACTATGCGGGTGGTGTGAGGGTATGATAAGGATGCATATAGGGTTTATACAAGCTGTCAAACTGTTCTAGAAGGCTGGGTGCATTTTAAGGCTTTCAACCTGTCGGGTTCGGATAGAGTCTCTTTATAAAGCCCAAAACCCGGCGCCCCAAACCCTCAAACAAAAAAGCCTTAAAGCCTTCAATCAATCTGTGCCTTGCCGATGTGTCCCAGAAAAGAGTCGAAGCTAGTTCAGTCTTCCAAGTAAGAGTGTTCATCGGGTCTTTTAGGGGCTTGCTGGGCTTGGTGGGGGTTTATAAGAGCCTTGTGTAACGGCTCGAGAAAGCTGTCGCCAGGGGGCTTCGTAAGAGTTTATATAAGAGGATATATATATATATATATATATATGACAGCAAAGGAATCTGGACGCTCCGAAACTTATGAACCAGCTTGCCTTACTAAGGGGGTTGGAGAGTGTTTGGCTTTGGGGTTTGAGGGTTTTCCTTTGGAGGTTTGGGTGGGTGTTTCGGATGCAGGTTGAGGAACCCTATACCTCAACCCTAAACCCTAAACCCCAAACCCTAAACCGTTTGGTGGGTGTTTCGGATGAAGGTTGAGGAAACCCTAAACCCCAAACCCTAGACCCTAAACCGTTTAGTGCGTGTTTCGGATGAGGGTTGAGGAACCCTAAACCCTAGACCCTAAACCGTTTGTTGGGTGTTTCGGATGCAGGTTGATAGTTTTTTTTGAGTAGTATTGGGTTCAAGGTTTAGGGGTTGAGGGTTTAGGGTTTGAGGGTTTAGGGTTTAGGGTTTGAGGGTTTAGAGTCTAGGGCTTAAGGTTTAGGGTTTGAGGGTTTCCCAGTTTTTGTTCGAAGTCTCCCACCAGAGATCCAGAGGAGAAGAAAGAGATGGCCCTGTTTGCTGCGGCAACGAGCGGTGTGGACCGAGACAGAGCAAAAAACGAGGTCGGTCAAAAAGCTTAGTCTAAACAAGCCCTGAAGCCCAACAGCCCTAAACCCTAAACCCTAAACCCTAAACCCTAAACCCTAAACCCTAAACCCTAAACCCTAAACCCCAAAACACCTGAAGCCCTAGAGCCTTTAGAGTGGCAGGACTGATGCGTTTCATGGCTTTGGGCTTATGGCGATGTTGAAGAAGTCTTATGCTTGCAGTTTCAGTTTTGAACAACCTGTCTTGCAGATTGTGAAGCTGTGGGGCGGTCTTCAGCCCACACGGAAGAAAGGAGACCATGGAGAAACGAGATTCCGGGGAGCGTGTAGGATTCCAGAAGGTTTTTTCAGTCGTACTCCCTCTTCATTCATCCCCCTGTACCTTCGATCAGATCGATATCCCCAACGTCCCTCCTTCGATCCAAACGGCTTGCTCTTGTCTGCATGCTCGTCGTCTCGCCATTGCATTTCGATGGTATCGTTCGCGTGATGGACTACATAGTCTAAGTTGCATTCTAAGTTGCATGGCGCCTTAAATACTGGCTAGTTCAAGATTGCTTTTTCAGCATCCCTGTACCTTCACCAACAGGCTTCCGAGTGTGGGATCATGCTTATGTGCATTTCCGCGTTTTATGCAAAGAAACCATGAAGAACAGGTGTACACGCACACTCACACTTTTTTGATACGTATAATATGTTATGCACACATACAGATGTAATGCAAGTATAGGTATGTGTGTGTGTATATATATATATATATACACAGAGGTGTGCGTGCATGTGCAAAATGCTGCTATTCTGGTTGCCTCGCAGATGGGCGCTTGGCTCGCAGACTACCTCGACGACGCGGGCTACATCGGCTGGGAAATGCACGCATCGATCTACAAGGCCACGAGTATAAGGCCTCAAAAGTAAAACACCCTAGGCCCTAAACCCTCATAAAGCCTCCAAAGCCTTCCTAAAACCCCAATGGAAAAGCGCCGAGTTGAACAGACGAAGTCCGAAATATCCTCCCTGCGCCTTATGCATTGCGAGGCTGTGATCCTCTGCAAAAGCCGTGCAGAATATCGGGGCCTCAAAGGGTTTTAAAATGGGTTCTATAAGGATTACTACAAGAGTTTCGTGCACAGGGGCCTGAAAATGAAAAGAAGAGGGTTTTGGGGTAGAGCCTAACGTACTTATATCAAGGAGCCCTAAGGAACCCAATTCTAATGATAGAACTCTCCCACACCAAAGCTTCCTACCCCACCTCCAAGGAAGAACGCGAACATTGTAACAGCCCTATTCTACTTATTAAGGCCCCTAATATAGCACCCTAGTATACCTCCCTTTTCGAGCCCTTTAAGGATCCCTTTAAAGGAACTCCTATCCCAAACTCTCAGAGGCCATGGTCATGACGGCCTTTCCTCCCATCGATGTCCTGGACGGCGTCAAGCCGGAATTCCACACGATGCCGCTTGATTAGGGTTTCGGGTTTAGGGTTTAGGGTTTAGGGGGGGTAATTAGGGGTTTGTATGGCACGACAGCTTGTGTTAATTAAAAGAACGGTTTGAGAAGGCCTCCATGAGGGTTGTGAATTTCCTGCAAAAGTTCCTGCAAGGCTGTATACGAGGTTACCAAGAGTTTCGCGAGGATCTACTACTATAGGGACTATAGGGGCCTAAATCATTATCTATTCTGTTTTTGGGGGTTCCATATTATAATTATAGTAGAATGGATCCCCAAACCCCATTAAAACCATTCAGGCCCCTAAACCCTAACCCCTTCATAGTGGCCCTTATAGTATCCTTTAAAGCAACCCTATTCGAATTATTAAGGCCCCTCCATTAGAAGTCTTGGCGGTTTAGGCGTGACCTGACCTGCAGCTCATAGAACCCAGAGTCTTCGGTGGGTCTAAGCTTGCCCCTAGTATGGGCCCTTAAGCCTGGGATCCTTACATACCTACTATAGACCCTAAACTCTAAACCCTAAACCCTATATGTACCCTTAAGGGTCCCTAGGATCCCCGAAGTAAAGGGTCCATATTAGGGGCCCATACTTCTAGCCTTAGAGTGGGAGGCCTTGGTGGCAACAGTACAGCTCATACAATAATCCCTAAACCCTAAACCCTAAACCCTAAACCCTAAACCCTAAACCCTAAACCCTAACAGGGGCCTCAGTACAGGGTTCCTTTAAAGGGCTCCGTAAATGGGTTCTTTAAGGGCAACTATAAGGGCTTCGGGTTGAAGGGCCTTCATAATTAGAATAGGGCTTTGGGGCCCATTAGACTATAATAATAATAATAAGGAACCCCCAGAATAGTGTAGGTAATTATTCAGGCACCTACATTAACAGTTGTGGTAATTAGGGTGGCGCCAGGCCCCCTCCGCACGCAGCAAGCAAACATTTTTCTTGGGTGGGAGCCTTTCCGCGAGTAGCCACTGGCGTGACATTATGCCCTAAGGAGATTCGACGGTTTAGCCGAACCTGTAGCCAAGTACAACTAACAGTTGTGGTACAGGTGGCCCCTGACAGTCCTAAGTATCCGCTACCTGAATACGTGCCAAAGATTACCTGAACTATTTCTTTTGGGTTCACATGCAGTGTATAGCCCCCCCAATTCTATTTATTTTTAAGGCCGGCCCACAAAAGCTCCTCTGGAAATGGAGGCCCCTGGAAACCTTCGAAGACCTCATGACCCGTGTGCTGGAGGTCCAGGGGCTTCCTCCTGGCGTTTTTTTTTTTTTTGTGGGCTTCACTTTTGGTGTCTTTTTTGCCGAGGTCTAAGTTTTAGGAGTGACTTCTGGGGTTTCGCTGCGTGTGCATGCAGGTGGCTTCGCTGGATGACGGGTGAATGTAGAATATGTTATTTTCTATCAACAAAACAACCTTGTCCATATCAGGTCTTTAAGACCATCGCCGTCGTGACTGCAGTCTTGTGGCTGCTGAGTACTGATACTGACGCAACAGTGGCAGTTGCAACATGACGGGTAGCAGCAATTCCGGTGAGAGAAGTATGAGTGGTAATATGTGTGACTGCAGTGCGAACACCTGCAGCATCAGGGATCTTCAACTAGCGGACATCTGGGTCCTAGAAGCGTACCTAATATAGGGTCTTTGGGGCCTTTTCTAAATCGAGTTTTGGGGCCCATTATACTATAATTGTAATCAGGAGCTCCTAAAATAGTATAGGTATTTATTTAGGC